CGGCATTGTAGTCTACTCTCCCAGGATCAGGAAACAGTCCTCCATAAAATGTGCTGCACACATCTGAATATTTAGGTTGAAGTGTTCTGGAACAGTGTTGTAAATACAACTTAACCACTGATTTCTAGTCGTGTCCTCTTTTGGAAGACCAAACAAAGTATTTTTGCTTTCACAACGAAACACACAGCGTCTTCACGACATGGCGGCAGCAACAATACTACAGCGAGAATTAAAGTTACGCCTTCTTTCTTTGCGTGAACATTTGGGCGGCATTATGCAAATCTTCCCACATAGTGATGTAGACATGTGGGGCGTGTTAGAACGAGCCGTTTTAGGTAGGTGTGGTTGACTCTTAAATTTTATAAAGAATATCTCTTTGGATTTGAGACTTTAGTCTTTGCAACTTTACAGATCTTCTTTATGCACCAAGAGCTTGTAACACTCCAAAGAAAAAGGAAAAATTAAAATCGCATCATATGACCCCTTTAAAAGGACACTGTTTCTCTAAATAATAAAATAGTTTTGGTTGATGCAATATGACAGTGGATGGGTGTGGCCACACTTCGAAGGAGGACTGTGTCATGGGGAAAAGTAGAAAACCGTTTGACGTAAGATTTTTATTTGTAAATTGTTGCTCACTAAATATAGCAAACATAGTGACAGTTCCTGTTTTATTCACTACCACCATTTACAAGGAATAAAATGCAAAGAATAACATTTTTAAAGTGCCCCTATTATGCCATTTTTAAGGTTCCTAATATTGTTTTGGGAGTCTCCTACAATAGGATTATATTCATGCAAGGTCAAAAAACGCTTTAGTTTTCTCAAAATATGCATTTAATATCCCCTCATTTTCCAGCGATTCTCAAACGATTCGTTCAAAGCAGTTCTGAGATTCAGTCTCTCTAAACCCTGCCTTTCCGTGAGCCTGCTCTGCTTTGATTGGTCAGATGGTCTGTTGTGATTGGTCTACGGCAGTGGTCCTCAAATCTGGCTCGCGAGATCAACTTTCCTGCAGAGTTTAGCTCTAACCCTAATCAAACACACCTGAGTTTGCTAATCAATGTCTTCAGGATCATTAGAAAATCACAGGTAGGTTTGTTTGATTATAGGGTTGGAGCTAAATTCTGCAGGAAAGTGGATCTCGCGAGCCAGATTTGAGGATCACTGGTCTACGGTGTACAGCGCGTGTCGAAAAAGGATACTCCCATCGCCATAGTTCAGTATTTTGAACACTTGATAGAAAATCTAAACATCTATTATTTATCATACTAGTGATTCAGTGGAGCCAGCTGGTGCAAAACAGGGTACTGAGCCATCTTTCAAGAGCAAGCTTTTAGTGAATCCCACGTTGAACTCCCCAATATTTTATTTCTCTAACTCCAAGATTAGAGAAGCAGTTGTCAATAAAATGACTTGTTTGTGGGCGGGGTCAAGTTGTTCGCGGCCGGCCAATGTAGAACATAGACGGGAATTATGCAAATGTGTTACCCCATGACGTGTAGCCGTCACGGAAGTGGGATTCGAATGACTAATGACTCGTTTAGGCTGCTCAGAGTCGATTCTTTATTTTGGGAGACAATAACTTTATTTATCGTGCACTTTCGGCTTTACAACTTTGCTGACCGTTTACATTAACATACAGCTACATTACACGCTGCATGAAAGGCAATATTGGAAATGGCATAATAGGGGCACTTTAAAGATTTGTTAGTTTTCTTGTAAGGTGATACAAGATATTGCTGGCCCTCTTTGGCTGAATGTGTTAGATAAAGTGGGCCGACCTTTAACCTTCAGTAATTATACCCAAATTCATTAAATAATATGACATTCACTGGTTATTTTATGGTTGACATGTATAATCTACTTGTTTAGAAAACAGAAATGAGACTGCAGTCAGGAATTCAAGTCCGAGATGGAAGAAATGAAAGAGTCGAGGCATGAAGTTCAATCTGTGGAGTGAGGAAAGCATGAGGGGAAAAAATATGGTTTCGAGAGCACAGACAAAAGGGACATTTTTACATATGGTTACCATTTCTCATAATTTTTTTAGCCTATTCGTTGTTGCTTGTGTTGTAGGCACATCTTTAATATACACCATGGACTTCATTTTTGATCAATATTCTGATTTCTGAAATTGAGATTTCATCAAACGTAACGTCGGCACAACTGTTGTTTGGAATTTTACACACGAGTTGAGATGTGGATTCGCACATGATTTATTTGACTCAAAACCTGTAGGTTATATACTTTTTGGGCTTGTAAAAGATGTTTGTCTGCTAATATGTGTTAATAAATCATGTGGCTTTAATTCAAATGCAGAATCATTTTTGATGGCCCACTTTACCCGAAAAGAAATGTGTCTGGAGTACATGACCTCAAAATATTTGTTGGTATATATTTTGCAAATATCACTTAATGTGAACAGTACTCAAACTGAAATATTACTGCTGGACCTTAAAGTCAACAAAAGTAATAAAGAAAACAAAAACATCTAAGTATCTAAATTACACATTTAACAAAAAGTGGCCCACTTTACCCGAGTTCACCCTACCTCATTCGACTGTCTTTGAACACTTCTGGCAAATACCTTAGCATCAGTGGTCTTTTTACAGTCTAGCATGAAAGTATGGTCACATTTAAGATTGTTCTGCGAATTTTCCTGGGCGAAAGGTTTTGGTTTAAGTGGTGTTATAAAGCCACAATTGGGTTCTCAGACCTTTTTAAAGCACTGGTCATTACATCCAGGTCAGGTTTTTACTTTTTTTTCAGAATTCTACAAAGTCTTAGGATGCTCAAACAAATCCATACACTTGTACCCTTTCCATAAAATCATGTTGTCGTCATTAAACATAAAAAATGTCCATTGCATAAAAAATAAACACTTATAGACAGCGCAGTTGTGTGATATCAGTCCTGAGGTTTCAGGAACACCTTTTTGGGCTGATCACCAACAACATTGCAGTTGACATCCTCTTCACTCTTCGTAACCGTGGAGCGATTTCTTTTCTTGGCAAACTTGTTCCTCATGCTCTCAACCAAGCTTTCATATCTGAAGGAAAAGCAAATAACAGTCAACGTCTTTCGTTCCTGTACAATGCCATCACTTTGACATCACTTCCTCTCTCACCGTCTGGCCATCTCTTCATCTGTAATATCAGTTTCCATTCTGCTCACATCGTCCTCCTCTTCGTCCTCCTCTTCCTCTTTGTGCGTGTTCATTAGTAACATTAATTTCTACAAGAGATTCAGTTTGGTGGTAAATATGTTCAGTGCTCAAGCTTACAGAAATCATAACATTTATTTGATATTTATTGATATTAATAATCACATAAAAAGAACAAATACTTCAGATTCCAGGTCGCAGATCAAACTGTTCAAAACTAACACCATTTATAAGCAAACATATAAATAAAATTAGTGTTTAAAATTCTTCTGGCTTAACTCCAATTCACATTTTCAAATCATGCTTAATTTAGAGAAATGCCAAATGGAAGCAAAGTTTACCTCAACTTCAGGATTGAAGCCTCTGAATGACATTCTGCCATAAACCAAATCCTCACAGGGAACGCAACTTCTCTCCTCAATTATATAGTTTCTAATAAAATTAAAAACACCTAGTTATTTTTTTAATAAATAATGCATGACAAGACGGCATTAACACATCAAATATGTAGGATTATAGGGCATTTGGTTACTTAGAGGTCACATAATAATGTCACTGCATTACAAACAAATAAATAAAAGAGTCGTCTGCAATCGGTTTCTATTCAAGCCAATGATTCGTAATTAGTTGATGTACATAGTGATGTAGTCTAATACACCACTATGTGCAACTGTCTTTGAGTGTGCGCACGGCATCCGGTGCGTGAGGTGTGCGCGCGCGCTCTGGTGTAGTTTACACAAGCGCTGGAAGCGATCTCTCGTGCGTATACGTCACTCATTGGTTACACAGTGCACAGTCATTGTAGGTACGACGGCTAATCAAAATGGTACTTACTTGCGCTTATCCGGATTGTTCAAACCGACTTAAAACTAAAAGATTACATTCTCTCGAGCGAACTCATTCAGGAGTGGTGACTTTCCACGTATTCCCAACTTCTGAGCCTGCTCGCCTGAAGTTATGGTTGATTGCTCTTCGGCTGGATATCAACACACTCTTTAACGTAAACTACGGCAGAGCGCGTACACACCTCACGCACCGGATGCCACGCGTGCGCTCAAAGACAGTTGCACATTGTGGTGAATCAGAGGTAAATATGATATAAATACTGTTCGGTTTCTCGCACAAACCAATCGTTTCGTGTCTTCGGACATCAATGTGTCGTCACGAGCCGCAGGGTTTAATTTGGATTTGTCTGTGCATGTTTTTTTACTCTCATAGATTTTGTTACCATTGCCATGCATTATACGACTGATAGACTGCAACGGTTAAAGTAAAAAATCATCAAATGTGTTCTACTGAAGAAACAAAGTCACATACACCGTGGATGCCCTGAGGGTAAGCAGATAAACATCACATTTTCATTATTGGGTGAACTATCCCTTTAAGTCGCTGGGGTATATTTGTAGCAATAGCCAACAATACATTGTATGGGTCAAAATTACAGATTTTTCTTTTATGCCAAAAATCATTAGGATATTAAGTAAAGATCATTTCTGACCGTAAATATATCAAAACTTAATTTATGTAAAATGCATTGCTAAAAACTTCATTTGGACAACTTTAAAGATGATTTTCTCAATATTTAGATTTTTTTTGCACCCTCAGATTCCAGATTTTCAAATAGTTGTATCTCGGCCAAATATTGTCCTATCCTAACAAACCATACATCAACGGAAAGCTTATTTATTCAGATGTTGTATCAATTTTTTTTTTAATTGAGATTATGACTGGTTTTGTTGTCCAGGGTCACATATGTAAATCATAATTAACTTTTTGTCGTAGTTCTGTTTTTTTTTTTTTACTCTTAACCATGACTTAGTATCTCATTTTAAACTCATAAATTTAACCTCATGTCCTAATTTTGACCTTTTCATCTCATAAAAAAACCTTTTATTTGGGGTCATATTTATGATTTAGCAAAGCATTTTTCCCGTATGTGTCAGAAATGGGCTTCTATAGAAATGTATGTCACACAATGACATCTAGACATTAGCGTGGCTTGAGCCAGTCAGGTCTCACTCTTTGGCCTTGAGCTCAGGAAGGTCCAGGAACCAGTGCTCATCACTGATGATCCTCTTCTCCTCCTCATCCAGCTGCTTCTTCAGCTCTGCGTCCAGCCCTCTCTGCATGAACTACACACACACACACACACACACACGAGCAACACTGGTCCGCATGAAGTCTGCGCAGGCGCTGTCGCCACATGTGCTAGGCTCGATTAGTCGCACAACACAGACCGACCGAAACTGCAGATTCATCATTTATATTACAAATGTAGTAGTGTAATACTGTATTTATGTCATAGTAGTTTGATACTGTATAATGTATTATACTTTCACATAGTAATATTTAGTACTAAGCTTTTTTGTTTTCTTTTCTTGATTACTCATGTCTGATGAGCTCCTGTTCTGCATATCATGGCAACACGCGATTATTTCTCAGCGCATCACTAAACATATTCAGTAAGGATTGTTTATTTATTTGTATTTATTTTGGTAAGTTAAATAGATGTTGTTGTGTTCAAATCGCGACATATGGCAGCTCGAAAACAACGGAATTGTCATGCATTTTCTTATTGGGGACTTTCACAGATGGTGGGGATAAATAAATCATTATATTTGATTTTACAGTAATATTTTATAGCATTTTTGCATAACTAAGGAACTCTATTTATTTGTTTGTTTGTTTGTTTATTTAACAAAAAGTATAAAAAACAACAAAAATTATTTACCAATAATTAATTACTGTAATTAAATTCCCTTGAAAAAGTAAAGTAAGGGATTACTCTTAATTTTTCTGTAATTTAATTACAGCTGCTTCTGACGTAGGTTAATTGCATTAAATACAGTTGGACTATACAACAATAGTGGATTTAAAGACTTAGTTCACCCAAAAATGAAAATTAGCCCATAAATTACTCACCCCCGAGGCATCCTAGGTGTATATGACTTTCTTCTTTCAGACGAATCCAGTCGCAGTTATATTAAAAATTGTCTTTGATCTTTCAAGCTGTTTAATGCCACTCAGCGGGTGTTGCATGCATCAGTCCAAAAGAAGTTAAAGGGGTCATATGATGCGATTTCCAGTTTTCCTTTCTCTTTGGAGTGTTACAAGCTCTTGGTGCATAAAGAAGATCTGTAAAGTTGCAAAGACTGAAGTCTCAAATCCAAAGAGACAGTCTTTATAAAAGTTAAGAGTCAACCACGCCTACCTAAAACGGCTCGTTCTAACACGCCCCACATGTCTACATCACTATGTGGGAAGATTTGCATAACGCCGCGATTGGCCCCCCCCCCATTTAAAATGCTCTAGACACGCCCCTGCCTTTATCCAAAACAAGTCAACTTCAGTGTTACATTCTTTGATAATAAAGTGAAAAGTGGGAAAAGGGGGGCAGTTAAAAAAAATTGTGGCCTTTGTGACGTCATACAAAACGGAAATCGTTTAAGAGGCAGAGCAAGTTATTACATTTTGATTAAAGGTAATAATGAAATAATGAACCTGTTGGAACAAGAACGAAATAGAGTTTGATTTCATGTTTATAGTTATTTCACTATAAGCTGTGACTTACCACATATTTGGAGATTTTCTGATCGATGATTCGCGTGGTGGGGATGTCAAACAGAAGTTTAACGCTTCTAAACTCCTGCTTAACGGCTCTCCAGTGCTGCTGCAGTTCTGCTGTGGTCAGACAGGAGGCACTAAAACCCACATCTGCCTCTTCAGCTGTGAGGAGACATGAAGTGAACACAGCGAACACACAATTCCAACAAACACACATCCATCAGATTCTGCTCTCGTAATGTCAGTTGCAATTGACTTAAAGGGATATTTTATTTAATTTGAAATACAAATTTTAATTTGATGTTTATCTGCTTATCCCCAGGACATCCAAGATGTAGGTGACTTTGTTTCTTCAGTAGAACACATTTGATGATTTTTAACTCAAACCGTTGCAGTCTATCAGTCGTATAATGCATGGCAATGGTAACAAAATCTATGAGAGTAAAAAAACATGCACAGACAAATCCAAATTAAACCCTGCGGCTCGTGACGACACATTGATGTCCTAACACACGAAACGATCGGTTTGTGCCAGAAACCGAACAGTATTTATATAATTTTTTACCTCTAATACACCACTATGTCCAATTGTCTTTGGGCGCGCGCACGGCATCTGGTGCGTGAGGCGCTCTGGCGTAGTTTACACTAGCGCCGGAAGTGATCTCTCGTGCGTATACGTCACTCATTGTTTACACAGTGCACAGTCATTGTAGGTACGACGGCTAATCAAAATGGTACTTACTTGCGCTTATCCGGATTGTTCAAACCGACTTAAAACTAAAAGATTACGTTCAACTCATTCTGGAGTGGTGACTTTCCACGTATTCCCAACTTCTGAGCCTGAAGTTATGGTTGATTGCTCTTCGACAACACACCCATTAACGTAAACTACGCCAGAGCGCATACACACCTCACGCACAGGAAGCCGTGCACGCGCTCAAGGAAGTTGGACATAGTGGTGTATTAGAGGTAAAATATTATATATATACTGTTCGGTTTCTGGCACAAACCGATCATTTCGTGTTTTAGGACATCAATGTGTCATCACGAG